ATATGAATCTGTTGGGGTTTGAGTGATATGGTATGGATGGGTCTATGCAGTATAGGATGACTTGCACTGAACAGTACCAAACCTGACAAAATCAAGCACAGTCTAACATTTGGTACAGCAAGCCACACACTGCACACACCCCCAACTCACACAGAATCCAACACCATCACCTTGGGCCTTTCATCCCAGGTATGGTACCAAACCTGCTAAAACCTCACAACACCTGCTGTTGGAGTGTGGCAGGTTTGGGGTAGTTAGGGTCAATGTTTATCAACCACTCCATATTGTCATGTTCACAGATCTTCGTTGGGACGTACATCAGTCATTATGAGGCATCTTCAGCCCTCATGTGCACCAATGTCATCAGCTCCATCTCCAGATGAAGACGTCCTGTTTGACAAAGTAGACAAAAAATGTTTGGTCATTTTGAATAGACCCAAAGCTCTCAATGCACTCAACTTATCCATGGTTCGGAAGATAACACCAAAGCTTAAGGTGCAGTATAACTTAAGATGTTAGATGCCTTCTTAATTGGAAAGTTGCCAAACATTTTAAATTCCACATTGTATGAAGCAACATGTACATGTATAGGGCCCACAGTAAGAGTGCCTTGCTGTGTAGTTGTGTGGACCAACTCAGTCCTAAACCAACTTGATCCAAATCAACTCAGTGAGTCCCAAGTTGACTCACTCCCAGCTCCCAGGTCAACTTGGTCCCAAGTTGACATGGTGTCTATAGGAAAACGTACATAAAGACTGGGGCCATACTGCACTTTTATAATTATAATTAGTGTGGTTCATGTTTCTACTCTGGACATGCCGAATTCAATCTAAAAATGCTGTCTACAATGACCGCGGTGTGTAGAAATGGCGGCGCTGGGCATCTTGATACCCCAAAAATTGAATCTGTTTACATTGGTTGATGTGACTCTGAATGGAATGAAACCATCATAAACCCTTCACTTTCCATAACTTCCAGAGTTACAGATGTCCTGATACTTTGTATTTGGACACCTTTTCCTTAACCTGAGCAATATAAGAATTATTCATTTCAGAATGAGACACTGAGCCCAAACCAACAGAAGTTACCAGAATTGCATACTTTGGAGCCTGCTAATAGTTCGGCCAGCCAATTTCGCCAAGTTTACATTAACCCTGGAATCGGCCACTCGTTTTTGTCCAATGATGATGGAATGTCCTTATTAAATCCATTTTTTATTCAAGTCTTGATGGAGTTGAATTAATGTTGAATCTAAATGAAAACTGCAGAATTGGCCAATGACGGGATGATTGAAGTAATCTGTATCGTGGACCCTCATTGTTGTTCATTTTTTAATAAAGTTTTTTGTCAATCCTTACATTCCTGGTGCATCAGCAAGCTGTTTGCTATGACGATGCATTTACTGTACAACCTCACATGCGTCGTGTCCAGGTCGATCAACCAATCTCCCCAGTCAATGTAATGTACCTCCCCAACTAATTATAGTTTTCTCTTTATTGCACACCAAAAATTCTGAATGAAATTATTTCCTTTAAAAAGCACAAAACAAATTAAGCAAACTTTTCCCGTGACAAGTGGCTTCTCTGTGGTGACTTCATGGTGGTGCTGAAAAAAATTGTCACACATGCACTTTGCATTCATGGGTATGTAAAACTTGAACTGCAGTTGCATTTTTTGTCTCAGGAATGGGCTGCCGATCCACAGAACAGTATGGTGATTATCAAAGGAACTGGTGAAAAGGCCTTCTGTGCAGGAGGAGATATAAAAGGTAGACTGCTGGTGGTACATGTATGGGGATAACATCAGGACAGTAACCAGTGATGAAGGTACCGGGAGAGGACTTTTAGCTGTGGGGAACCTGTGAATGGCCACAAGGCCTGTTATGAGGGGATGAGGCCTTCATATGGACACCGAAATACATGTATTCAAGGGGCACATTTTTTTTTAATGTTTCATTCATTTTTTGCGCATTACCCAATGCAGTTTTAATGGTTCTAATAACAGCTCCTAGAGTACAAATGTAAAATATATATAAACTATATGTACAACCTGAACATGCTGAATTTTACCTTCTGAAGATTTCATTGCACCATTTTGTTATAATCTCAAAACTTGTTCTTCAGTGGGGCACACCATGTGATCGGGTATTTGAAGAGTATAAAGTATGTACACATAACACAAGATGCGATTTGTGCCAGTTACGTTAAGCAAGCCTGTCTGTAGACAGGCTTGTTAACCATGCAAAATTAGTGTTTTTTCTAAAGGGGCAATTCTAACGTTATTCTCAGAGCCCAAGTGATTTTTTTTCCCTGAGTATAGTAACTATATCTTGTTTGTTATTTTGCGTCATTGCAATATGTCTGTCACTGCAGCCGTGACGGAACTCGGCAAGGAGAGTGTTTCCAAGGGAGCGATCTTCTTCAGAGAGGAATACATCCTAAACAACGCCATAGCCACCCTACCAATACCCTACATTGCACTCATTGATGGCATCACTATGGGTGGAGTGAGTACTGTCATAGGCTCAGAAATTCAGCACATTACCAAAAGTTATCCGTGCTCCCTTGGGGGTTTTTAGTCATTAAAAATAAATCATGACTGGTTTGTAGGCATTGTTGGGAGAGAACGTTTATTCCTTCCCTTGGAAGAAAAAAATTGAAAAACCAAAATGGGGGAAAAGAACAAGTAAACAAATCAGAAAAATGAAAGGAAAATAAAATCAAATATTGGTCTGAAAATATCTTGGAATTGAGTGCTTGGCCCCTCCATCCCATTGAATTTCCCTACTCGGAAAAAGTGCTTTGCCACACCCCCACCTGGAAAAAATGGTGACACCCATGGACTGGTTCTTCTGACCAAGTTTATGAACACATAACTTCGGCCTCTATGAATGACCACGTAAATTGCAAAGAAACAGGGCACCGCCTGTGTGAATATTTGAAGGAAGTAAATCTGTGGAAGCTGGAAAAAGATATTGTGTGTGAAATCAATAATGTTCACAGTCTTGGATAAAGTAGCGTCATTGGTCTCAAATGGTCACTAGTTTGCAAGGAATAGAACATCATTTACATCACTTGAAATGTGCCTTAGATGTCATTTGTCTCTTGCAGTGAGTGTCACATGTTTACAAGAACACCTGATAAAAGATGTGCAACCTCTCTGTCTCTGCAACCTCCAAATCTTATATGTGGCAAGGAGGCTTCCATTAATCATAAGATACATATTACAATGTACAACATTTATCTCTTCCCTTCAAGGAAGCGTGGCCCGCTTTGCTTGTCATGTATCTCTCGAGAGTAAAAAAAGAAAAAGTCACATTAGAGCAGTCAACACCTGTTAAAGTTACGTTAGTACCAACCATCAGTAAAATTGATTTTACTTGATACTGTACCTCAAAATCCCCTCAGGGTGTGGGTCTGTCAGTCCACGGCTTGTTCAGAGTGGCCACAGAAAGGACTCTCTTTGCCATGCCCGAGACGGCTATTGGTCTCTTTCCTGATGTGGGAGGGGGCTACTTCTTACCCAGACTCCAAGGCAAGCTGGGACTATACCTGGCCCTCACAGGTTACCGACTGAAGGGACGTGAGGTACAGAAAGCCGGGGTGGCCACGCACTTTGTAGAATCAAACAGGGTGAGTTTTAAGCATTGCACTGTAATTTTGCTTTCATGCCTTTGAGGATGATTCTCCTAGGAGTGAAACATCAGGCCCTCTGACATTTTAGATTTGTTTGTTTTCAGGTCACTGTTGTCAGCGGTCTGCAGCACTTTTTGTTGTACTTTTCT